GAATGTTTTTGCTGTTCTATCTCAGTAGTTCACAAGTCAATATCTTCAGGCTCCACTTCATTTTTTTAAGTTGTGTCCTCCAAACCAACTCTATTTACAAGTGAAACCATACAACGTTTATTGTAAATGTGCTGATTGGCAGACATGACAGGCTGGATTAGGGGAAAAGGCCTGAGCTTTGCGGTATGAGAACTTGTGACCACACTGGAAATGTTTTGGATATTTGACCAATATACAGCTGAAATTATTTGATTATTTGACCAAAAAGAAAAAAAAACAAGCCATTGCACCATCTTTGGGTCTTTTGTGAAATTGTATCACTCGTACTCATTCAGAACAGCATATCGGTGAACTTTTTTTCCCTTCAAAACTGATCACGCATGATGGAGCAAATAAACGTCGTACTTTTGCCAAACCAACAAATGCATACAAGCACCAGGCAATAGAATTTGTTTTAATAGCCATCAGTCCCACTCAATTTCCCGTTTTCACAAACAGCTATTCAAATTCCAATGTAACTCCCGTATCATATTAAAAAAAAACTCAGCCAGTTAATAGCTTATTAAACCGAGCCATAACAATTCACAGATAAATATTGGAAGCTTAAACAACGTCATCTCACCGTGACAGGCATATAAAAGGTTAAATCAATACGGTCGTCAGGGGAGGCCCGAGAACGACTTTACTTGTTAGCGCAAAGCCTTAATCTATGCTGCCCACCCATCCGCCCCCAAACTCTGACCAAAGGATATCTCCGCGGTGAAGTAGGAAAGCCATGAAATTGGTGGGTTGGGACAATTGCAGTTGCTCCCACAAGCTCTCTCTCCTCACACAACTGACTGAGCCCTTCCACACCCATACCAGAAAAACACCCAACCCACCGAAGCCATCTCCTCCCGACCCTTTCCAATATTTTCCACCATTAACCCCCCCCCCCAGCCTTCCCCATGCCCTGCCCGCATCCAGCCCGCTAGCCCGCACCCTTCTCCTCTAAAGTGGTCACGGTCCGTTCCACCAAATTCCACAGCCAGATGGGTACGTGCTGCCACCCACACGCATGCAAGCACGTGCACAGACACACACAAGCACACATTGGGTGTTTGAGCACGCACGTACACACCGGCGTGTACGCACGTGTGCGTGCACGCCCGTTTGGACGCACGCCTCATTACGCAAGAAAAATGGCAATCAGACGGAAAGATAATCACCGGCTTTCGCTGGCCGCTGACAATTATTCTGCTCAAAATAATGCAAGGGCTGATGTGCCGTAATTGGCCAAGTGGCAGGCTCTTACAGTCGGCAGCAATAATTTTCGGGACTTGTGCCAAAACACCTGCAAAACAGTCAGACCTCGGGGTGCAGGGAAAAGAATCGGCATGCCAGCCCACATCAACAGCCGCATTGGGTGGATTTTATTTGGCGACACTTCAATAGGCTACATTTGTAACTGCCATCTCTCACGTTTATTACGAGCCCTCTGCCTACAACAATTGTGCTAACTTTCCTTTGGAATTTTGTTTCGACATGCACATAGGACGTGAATGCATTCATGTGAACTTTAACATTTATTGTAAGCTTACAGCAATCCAGGATTAAGACATTAGACGGTAGACCAAAAAATTACCTAAAAAACGTTTGCCCCCTTCCAATTGTGCTGTCGTGAGATGAAGAATCCATTCGGAAATCTCACAGAAGTTTCCCCCCCCCCCGATTCAGAAAAACAGCTACAAATGATATTTTTTACAGAAATTCTCCATAAAATTCCTTCAAGTGGCCTGGTTATCCTCTTCCACTCTTCTATGAGACTGCCGGATGACGTTTTAATTGATATTTGTAATTATCAGGGTTAGAATCGACCCAATTTAAGCATAAACACTGAATTTCATATCATGCTCTTATTTTGTGTGGTCACTGGTAACCAGGGCTGTGACAATCCATTCACAACACTGAGAACTCGGTTTAACCGCCTGTGGCTGAAACCTAGATTCAAACTTAGAACCTCAAATGGTGCCGGCTCACTGCTCTGACCTCTGATTCACCTGGGTCAACTTTTTTTATTCATATCATTCATTACAACACAATGGAAACCATTTAAACCAAAAACGTTGATTAAATAAACAATCTCAATCGTGATGTGTTCACTACTGATAAAAAAACACAAATATAACCGAAACACAATTTTTGTATTGGCAACACAAACTAACAATCCACCAAATGGCACTTTTTTCATTTTTATCACGTGCAATAGTTGATTTTCAATATAAAAACGAGCACTGCGCGGGAATGCACGGCCGGAGTGGAGGGTGGTTGGGAGGGGAGTGACGTCGGCACGCGCGAACCCAAATGTGCCACAGGGCACTTGCCCACCTGCCGACCTGCCAGCCAGCCAGCCAGCCAAACTTTTTTTTTATAATATGGTATTAAATGTAAATGTCACTGTCAAGCCTGGGTCATGGCTTAGCACAGTGAGCACGGTGGCCTTGCTACTGGCAACTGAAAAAGGAAGGCAAAGCCGACAATTAATCTGCACCTCCCCCCACCCCGACGGTAAGCATTCTCCGGGTTGCTGTTATTGCCAATTTAATCAACAACACCAGCCACGAAAGTGATTCTTGTTAATGCAGGAGACATGAGCTACAACTAACGACTAAAAATTTAATCGATGAATGGTCATGGGGCAATTTATAATGATTCGATTCGTCACTAAGAATGGCATAAATGATATATAAACGTAAGAACTGACAGCAACTTTTGTTTTGGCCACAGAAAGCCCAAGTACGTATTCAAATTTTAGGGTACGTAATACATTTTCATGGTTTTTAGGACAAGTATGTTTCAGCAGAACTTGTCCACACTGTGTGAAACACATTATGGCAGTCTAATGACACAATCATTCCATGTTGAATAGGTTACTGTATACATTATTTGTACAATAATATTTTTTAATATTTCACCGAGTTTCCTAGGCTTTTTACCCGCAAGCTGTTGACATTAAAAGTCAAACCACAGGTATTTCTACAAGCCAAAACCCACACACTCCCTTACATAAAGTAAGGACACGCCCCACAGCACCCACTCTCTCTCCGCCTCCCTTGAAACCACCTCATCCACCTCCCAAAACCACCTCCCCCCCCACCACCCCACAAAGCCGCCGCTAACCAACCCAAACCATTCCACCGACGATGGCAATCAAAACCTGGCGGCGACCAATCACAGCGTTGCGCCATCAACACTGCTGGCTTTCTATTGATTAGGGCTGGAAAGCTGCTCACCCAACCCATAATCTGCTTAGATGAGATAGGAGATTACCACGTGCCAGCTGACATTTATTATTATTATTACTACTACAGAAAATATATTTTTAAGGCTCTCTACTTTTCATCTGCGCGTGCAATCTCCTCGGAACAGCAGTAGTAAGAGCGACACCGTGTCCGCGTGTTCATCTGCAGCGGCGTGTGACATTTCAAAGTGTGCCAGGAAGTGGTGATTAATTACTGTGCGGGTTTTTTTTCATCTCTCTCCGTGCGTACGCTTGACTCCACACAAAAAAAGCACGGTGACATGTGGCCTCGACAGATTTACTTGTGTCCAATTGCCCACGCACAAACGTAGGGAGACTTATGACATAAAAAACAAATACAATTCATTGCCGGGGATGGGCACTTCTCTGTGTGCGTCACACAACATTAAAACGTGTCAATGTGGATGTCACTGCACCTAAAAATAACATTGGACAGTCGTGATAATTATTGCTGCTATCAAATTAGCATCACCCTGCTATTGTATTGCTAACCTGCGGTAGCACGGCAAGTGCACTTATCGCTGTACTTTATTTTAGCCAGTTGTTGGACCAGTTGAGCAGATTGAGTTCCATAGTCTACTCATTGATGACCACCAACTGGCAATGCATGTCGAGGCTATGGCTGCCAACGCCCCCCCCCCTCCCTGATGGGTTCGTGCCATTTGGAATCATCACTGTTCACAAACAATTCCTGACTTATCGTCGGTTTGCTCATCATGGCGCAAATGTTGCTGGCACAGACCTGACGTCCTCTGTATGGAGGTGATATTACTCGCGTGGAGGTGGTGTCTCCACTGCAGAGGTGGTGTCCCCAGCGTGGAGCTAGTGTCCTCAGCGTGGAACTAGTGTCCCCAGCGTGGAGCTAGTGTCCCCAGCGTGGAGCTAGTGTCCCCAGCGTGGAGCTAGTGTCCCCAGCGTGGAGCTAGTGTCGCCAGCGTGGAGCTAGTGTCCCCAGCGTGGAGCTAGTGTCCCCAGCGTGGAGCTGGTGCTCCCAGAATAGAGGTGGTGTCTGCAGTAAAAGTGGTATTCCTGGCATGGAGTTGTCCTCAGCTTGGAGCAAAGCCACCCTACATATCTTAAGCTCAAAGTCTCCCATTACTGTATACTGTGGCATTCATCGCAAGTAGCAAATAAGGTGGGTGGCATTAAACTTGTTTTTAAATGTAATAATTACACATCAAATACTGCTTCACCCCTTATTCACACTTTTAATAAATAATTTAGCAATTTCGTTTTCGAGCAACGAGGTTTATTCTTCACGAAATGGACGTTGCCGTACGCCAGTAAAGCAAATTAGTCGACAAAAAAGGTGGGGCAGCTTCATAAGCGCACGAAAAACCCACACGCAGTACTCAGCGTGCAGTGGCGATCCCAGATAACATTTGCAAGGGGGAGAAAAATGTCTAAATATGTATTAACAAAAATATTTTTTTACATTAATGAAAAATCCCAACAGTGGTCTATGACATACAACGACCTTCTAGAAATTTCAGAGGGGGGGGGGGGGGCGGGGGTGTGCCACTGCCCCTTTTACCCTCACCCAAACCCTGGTTGCACCTGTGCTCACACACACAAATGCACACATCCAGACAACAGGATGTACACACACACAATCATGTACATCCAACGCGTGAACGCACGCTTGCACACACGGGCTTGCGCGAGAGCGCTATCAGATGAGGAAAAAAAGGGGGGTTACCTGTTTGTGCATCTCGATGTTGAGGCCATAGGACATCTCGTAGTACTGTCAAAACAAAAACGGGAAAAAAGGGGGTTGGGTGGGGTGAGGGAGGAGGGGAGGACGAAGGATGGAAAAGGATGGCGGGGGTTGGGTTCAGGGTTTGGGGGGGGGAGGACGGAGACATCAGTTAGCGGCACTGGAGAGCGATCACGCGTGAAGCAACACAAAAGCATCCCTTCAGCCACACACAAAGGGGGTTGTGGCAAGGCTAGAGGTTGTTTGGGCGAAGCGAGGGTGCTGGGATGTAGGATATGATTTGGCTAAGACAGTTTTTTGAGGTTTAAAATGTGTAGGCGTATGAGCTATGCACGTGTTGTGTTTTTGTGTGCGTGCGCTGTGCTTCGAACCCGGCGACCCCGAGTTCGATTCCCGCTCACGGCCACAAACACCAGTGACGATAAATCTGAACCGGTCCTGGGCTTCCCCTACGTCGACTCAGCCTCAAATAAGTTCCTGGTAGGGTGTGTAAACACCGCCACCCACCCCCTGGTGTGCCGTGCCGGCCTTGATAGGTGCTCGCTAACAGCACTTTCCCCAAAGGTCTGTTAAGACGATCCTGGGGGCTCTTTGTGGAGAGCTGGTTTAGTGGTTAGTGGACTGCATTAAGATACCAGCGTTCAGAGCCCAATTCCGGGCCACGGCTCATATCGGTAGTAAGTGATATGCAAGCCGGTGCGAGGTCTCTCTCCCTTAGCAAAACCTGCCCTTACCAGCTTGGTGAAATATGGTCACACAATCCCTGTAATGGAAGCGGCATGGGAATGCCGTTCTCCAGAAGTGGATTGGGGGAAAAAAGGTCCTTCATTATTAATATTATTAAAAATGTTATAGCGAATATCATAATAAAATCAGTCATCGCTACAGTTGTGACAAACAAAATAAGTATTAAATGGTTTTAAACAATATTCTAATTATGTCACCGGACATTCTTGGCAACCACGTAAATGTTTGAGCTGATAGGCTATCTGCTTAATTTAATGTGAGTGGTCAGTGTGTGTGTTTTTCAGGTTGGGTTGACATTTTGAGAATGAAAACAGCATTTCCTGTTTTTTTTTTATTCTGCTAAAATTGTACATAACTCATGATAAAGAACTGGCCAAATATGTAATCCCCGTAGAGGACGTTTTGAAAGAGTGCAGATACTCAATGAGGCTGTCATTGATAATATTGTCATTATAATACGGTTATATAGTGTACAGACGACATTTCCATGCATGCAAATAAGTTAATTTACAATGTGATGGATATTTTGTATAACAGCGTACATCTATTGTTTCAGTATAATTACGGGTTTTGTATAACCTGAATATATATGGTATGCCGTATCACTTTCGTTTGTAATTATCATTTTTACCAGCCAATAACTTACATCCAAGACCCAAACCTAGTGCCCTCCGACATGAAAAATATTCGTGAAAATCGATTTTGGCCGAGCATCCAAACGTAGGACCGTCTTAAATAAGGGTGTAGAGACTCAATATAAGGCTTTTCCTTGTACAATCGAATGACATAATCACAGTTTATTCAAGCGAGCATACACCACCCATTGCATTACAGTATTTTGTTTATTTTCTATTTAATCCTTTCTTGCCGCATCACTAATTGCAGAAAATTTTCCAATTTGAGCCATGACACGGACACAGTGAGCCGCGTTCGCAGATGAATTATTTCCCGAGTCTTTGATTAACATCCACTTCACAGTACATTGCACTTCAAATACCTAAGCATTTCCCCTGAGGGAGGTGGGATTCAAACTGTTGAACGCATGCAACGTTTTCGCCAAAAGTGAGAGGGTCACAAGAGTAACAAGGTTCGTACGGTCCAGCGAGTGTGTGTGTGTGTTGGTGGTTGTTTCACTGCGCCGTATCGCAGCCAGCTTGGTTCGATACCTGGTCACGCCAAACACCGGTGCCAAATAATATCTCAACCGTGTTCTAATCCTCCCCAAGGTTGACTTAACCTAAAATGAGTCAAATAATTAATTCAAATCAGCACAAGGGAAACAAAGACGGCCGCCGATATGGTGTTGACCACGCCTGCTCATTCGCGTGCCGTGTTAGCCCAACAGGTACTCTCTAACAACACCAGCCCCAACAGCTTATAAGGAACGTGCATAATGAGAAATCTGTGATGTGTGTCCATGTGTGTATGTGGAGCGGTAGTGCAACAGTTAGGGCGCAGCATTACGAAGCTGGCAACCGATTACCTGAACCGGTCCTGTGCCTTCTCTAGGTCGACTCAGCCTCAAATGAGTACCTGGTGCAGTGTGTAAACATCGCCACGAGGGAGACAAAGGCTGCCAGGCGTGGTGCTGGTCACCCCACCCCCTCTTGTGCCGTACCGGCCTTTATAAGTGCTCGCTAACAGCACTTGACCCAACAGTCTGTTAAAGGCTATATGGGGGATCTTTGTCTTTGTGTGTGTGTGTATAGAGCGGTGATGCAGTGGGTGTGAACACCCCACTTCAAACTTGGTGATCTGTGTTCAATCCCTGGCCATGCACATCAACGACACATTTTATCTGAACCTGTCCGGGCGTCCCCTAAGTCCACTCAGCCTTTAGTGAGTGAGCGGTGTGCAGCATATCAACACTGTGGGAGACCAGGGTGATGCCAGGAGTAGTACAGGCCACACGACCCTGTCACGTGCCGTTCCAGCCTTATTAGTGTCTCACTGACAACTCCAGTCTCTACAGCATGCGAGGCAAAACGGGGTTGTCTGCGCGTGTAGAGGGACGCAAACACAAGGCAATCACGCCCTTTGGTGTCTCAAAATCCCCTGTAGCGCGTATTATTACCATTGTTATTATTACTCGTGTCCAACCTGCGCGCGTTTGTTACGTCTGACGAGTTTCTCATAATTTACAGAAAAGTGTCATAATTGGTTTTAAGGGAAGGGGCGTGCAACGTGCGGCGAGGCGCTTGTCCGCGCATTGCGGCCATCCACCAGGAATGCACTGCGATTGTGACCGAAGAAGAGATGGTGATTGGGGGGCGGGAGTGTGATGGTGGAGGGAGGAATGGAGGAAGGGAGCGGAGGTGGGGAGGCGTGGTGGTGGTGGTGGTTGGGGGGTGATGGGTGATGAGTGTGCGCAATGGAGCCGCTCCGGCAAAGCCACACGCGTGCACTCAAGAGCGACGTGGGGTTTTTTTCTTTCTCTCTTCCTGTGCACAGAAACCCGTGTCGCTGGGCAAATAGTGGCATGCGATATGCTTCCGACCGCGTCGTGACACACGCTACCGGTACTACTGGTACTAATGGTAGTACTGTAGTTGTGGCGTGGGGCTAGCAGTGGCGGTGATATTGGTTGGTGGTTGTGGTAGTCTCGGTGGAGGTGGTGCCGGTGGCGATATTGGTGGAAATGGTGGTTGGTGATGTCGGATGTGGTAGTGGTTTGGGCAATGGGGGTGGGTTGTTGGTGCGGGTAGGAAAGATGGTGGTGAGAATGTGGAGGGGGAGGGAGGAGGATGGTGCGTAGGCGGTGGGTGTGAGTCGCGATTGGTGATGGTGCTTGCGCTGGTGGTGGAGAAGTGGTCAGCCCGGTGGCCTCCGTGGTTGTGGACTTAAGGGCGGAGGGCGTTACCGAGGGATTGTGATAACAGCGGCACACAACGACAAATGGGCAGGGGAGTCGCGCTAAGCAAACTGGGTGCGAACATTCGCCAGAGGGCGAAACTAAATCCGCGTGCTCGGGAAGAGCCTGAACCCCAAACAGAGAGAGGGGGGAAATAATAATAATCGGAAGAAACCCCAATAATTAGTCAAATAATCCCCCCGCCCCTCCCCCCACGAAAAAAATCATGTTTCACACAAACTTTTAGCCTCCAAAAATGACGAGGCAAAAAGGTCGAAATAGTTGGTCAAAAAAACTATTTAACAAATACAAATGTAGTCTCTGCAAGGAACGTGTCAACAACGTTCGTAAAAAAAATGTCACCACCGAGCGCTGCGTCACGTAACAAACGTGACCTTTTGGCAGCGGCGGGATGCTCGCGAATTTGAGGCACAGAGATGATAAAATTTTCAAAGTTAAGCGCGTACGTGTGACACGCGGGCCCCTATCTTGTGTGCGAGTCCCCGTGTGTAGTTGCGTTCGGGCCAGACGTGTTTGTGCCCATGCAGGTCAACGAGTTACTACTACTCGACTGTTGGTTAACGCGCAGTTAAAGCCAAATGTGTCTCTGTGTGTTTAAGTCTTCTAATTGTATTCTTGATAGCTTGGGTTTGATAGCTTGGCAACTGCTGGGGCAGAACAAAGCCTCTGTAATCTACTGCGTGTTACATAATCTACTCTATACTTAATCGACCCAATGTACATACCACACATTACACTGAAGATTTGCATTCTGGGAATAATACACTACGAAAACACCGAATGGCTTATTTTGAAAATAAAGCGTGTTTATAGTAAACGATAACTTAATGAATAACGTTCGTTCCTCTATTTATCTGATGCTGCATGAATGCCTCCTCATACTGTCAGTCATGTGGGTTGCTTAACCATATTTTAACCGCGTTGGTCAATGCAGGTTAGTCAAGGGGTGCCCAGGACTGGCTCACATATAATAATTTGCCACTGATGTTAGTCGTGGCCGGGAATCTTAACTCGCCGAGCCGGGTTCACAAGTGCATGGTACTAATCACTGTGCAACCGCTCCACCGCCAGTATATATCGTAATCCATCTCGTGCGATGAATTCATATTTTAAGAAAACTGTGCGCTGTTTCATACTAGAATCTTGCCAGTCATCTTATATTACGCGGTACATTGTTACTCAGCCGCAACCACTTCAGTATCAATTTCTCTTCAAAAGGCCAGTCAGTGTGTGTGCGTGTACGACTTTAAACATTGCCTAACCATACCCAGTAACTATTAGCGTCATTGTACTTACAGGCAGGCTTTAGCGAGATTCAGAGCTCTGGAATTAATTGGCTAAGCGACCACAAACGCCAAGCCCATATCTATCGCGGCAGGATATGTATCATATAATATATACTGTCGGTTGGCACCAGTTGGCATAGCGGGTAGAACATCTGCCATTAATCTGAGTCAGTCAACCCACAACACCTCGGTCTGTCTCGTGACCTCCTGCCAACCAGCCCTTTGACGCTTTCACGTGGTCTCACAGTGCACCCAGTCTGGCACAAGTGCTGTGGCGACATCAAAGTTGAGGAGTAACAGCTGTTGTAGTTGCTCTGTATGATGCAGTGAGTGACCGTGTTACACACGCACTACACAGCAACAAAAACAAAATAAACACAAAGAGTCCCTGCCCCCCCCCCCTCCTCCACGGCCCCTCTCCCATAGCCAAGCAGACTCGGGGGCACGTGCCATTCACCATTACGAGCCGTGATCAATCCACTTTAGTATGTATGTACGTTGAACTTCTTTCGCACCGCACGTAGCCAACCGTGCTAATCGGAGGTGCGGGGGGGAAGGACAACACTCTTGAAGGCCTCCCCAAGTCGCCGGTAACGCGGACACACACACATATATACCATACACGTGCTCCAAACGTACGAACACGCGCGCACAACAGACCACATCCCTCAGCTCATTAAACTTTTAACGGAGCGCGCAATATCCGCGCAGCTGAATTATTTATGCCCGTGGCTTTCCTCCTGCTCATCATTGGTTTGCTCACCATGACATAGTGGCGTTGCATCTCCGTCTTCTCGCTCGCCAGCTTCTCGCATTCCAGTTTCAGGCTGTGGGAACAACACGCATCACCATCTTTAGCACGCAACACACGAGCACCAAAGACAAAGATTCCCCATATAGACAAAACACACTTTTGGGGCAAGTGGTGTTCGCGAGAACGTGTGAAGGCCCCAGAGGTGCAATTTACACACCGCACCAGGTACTCATTTTAGGTTAAGTCGACCTAGGTGAGGCCCAGGAGCGGTTCAGGTGTTGGCTGTGTGCGGGAATCGAACTCAAGTCGACAGGTTTTGTAGTGCAGTGTGCTAACCGCTACATGAAAGCTCCCCACTAACACCACACACACAACACAAAGGTCCCTCCGCTGCTACAACGTACACAGGGCGAGATGAAGTTCTATGGGGGCCGTTATAATTTGGGGGGCCTCATTGTTTATTCAATTCCAACCATTGACCCTTTACCTTGGTTGGTTATTTCAGTTCCGTTTGTGAAGTGTGATGGACGTAATATATAAAAAAAACTAGCCAAATTTAGGGTACATAATTGGCCGGGGTGATACGTACACGTACTGATACTTTCTCGCTTGACTTGCCAAATTAGCTGTAGAATGGATCATAGTGCTGCTGCTCCACTAGTTGTGTGCGTTTTAACCCAGGGCAGTATATATATTTTAGAGCGGGTGAAGCCACAAAATCCGAAGTCTCACATTTTCGGACGTGAGCACCCTGCAATTAGGGTCGTTAGGAGCGTGGCCAGCACCCCCCCCCCCCGCTCCGTCTTTGTCTCCCAAGTACTGAGGATTATTTAACGATGCGTCGACCTAACAATGTACGGGAAAGTCCCCCCCACCCCCCAGATTAGTTCAGATTTCAAGTCGCCGACTGATGATACCCATATGGCAGGGACAACACCAGCTCAGGTAGGTATAAGCCTGTGGTTTGTTGGCGTAGCGTGCCCGATAACTACTGCGGCACAAAACACACTGACACGCGGTACAAACAACGTTCTTGGGGGGGGGGGGGGGGTCAGATTGCCGTGTTGACGAAACGTCTTAAGATCAATGAAGCACGACGCCTTGCTTGGTTGTTGGCTTATCGCCCAATTATTGTAGACATGGCCACGTTTTCGCTAACATTGGGACGGAACGAAAACTGTTCGCCGCCGGTCAGACAAAGGCAGACAGACATCATCACCCACACGGCGTGCACCTTGAGCTGAAAAAGTATCGCAGCGTATTCAATTATTACCACGCTCTAAATTATTTTCGGCCACAACCCAGAGTTGAACGTGATGTCGCCCCCCCATCTCTTCCTTCGTATCACACGCAAATTCTTCAGTCGGTTAACTTGGCAGCTTTCGCGAATCGCGAGAAAATCCATTAAATCATCAACGGTCACTTGCCAAAGTGAGTAAGCGTACCGACCTACGCATACAAACTTTTCCTCTCTTGACACTGCGGGTGCACGTACACACACACACGTAAGCAACAATGCGGCCACCCCCCCAGCCAGCATCGTGAGTACACACTTCTAAGCAATCCGTGTGTGTGTGTCTGTGGCAGCATTACAGCCTCGACGTGCGTTCAGGGACGATTCCGTCTTCGGATACAGATATAGTCAATCCGTCCCACATGGCTTGCTTGATTAAAGCACACAACACAGCAGACATCCCCCCCCCCCCCTTGCTATTTAAAGCGCCGATGAATCGCCTTAAGAAGTCCCCCCTGTGAGCGTCGTGTTTTACATAAACACACAAGTTGCTATAAACCGATGGGCCACTTCACGCCCTCTGTAGCGTATATATAAGGGTGAAAATGTGTGTGTGTGTGTGTGTGCTGTATATGTTTGTGGATAAACATGCTTTACAGTGGTACTGCGCACACCACGAACATTATTAATTGGTGTGCCGTGTCGACGTTAATCGGGGCTCACTTTAACAGCAGCACTTGCCCTCCATGAGTCCTTTGTGTAATAGAAAAAAACCCGGCGGCGAAGCGATTTACTTAGGACGTTGCGACCACCAGATCACGATCACGGTGAACATCAGTGGGACGAGTGAAATCTGAAACGGTCCGGTCTCGTTGCCTCCCTTCCGCCACCCCAACCCCCCCCCCCACACACACACAAGGTCGACTTCCTTCTTGTACGAGTAACCAGTTCGTTGTGTGTGTCAAACATCAACACCGGGAGAGACAAAGACGGCCGGACCGTCCTAAGACGCACGCGAACAGCACCGAACACCACCATCACTTGATGCAGCAAATGTGGCTGTGACGGTCACCACCTGATGACGGAGACTCGTGTTGCCTCCGAAACGTCGTGATTTCTATTTTATTTTACTTTTATTAATTTTAATGTTTTACCTACGTGACTTTACCGAAAACACCTAAGAATACCACCACCACCACCACCCCCATCTCCATCCCCACCCCCCCAACCAGAACAATATCTATCTTGTTCAAACACGCGGTGTCGTCTTTTGTCTTCTTGCGTGTCGGTAGCGCGATAGCGGTGGACATCATACCTGTGATACTGCGCCTGTAGAAACTGGAACTCCTCCTTGATGCGATCGCACGATTCGGTCACCGTGAACTTAAAGGGCTGTCCGGGCTGGTGAGGAGCCTGGAGTCGCGGGCAGCCACAACCACACGCGTTGAGCGTCTCAACAAGAAACTCCTCTCGGTTCATATTGCGTTAGAAACACACACACACACAAAAAAAACACCACACATCGGCAGACACATACGCACCGCAAGGGTTAACGTACTCGCACGCACCAAAACTGCAGGTCGGCAAGCACACACACACAGAGAGAGGGTGCGCGCTCACCCTCCAGCAGCAGCAGCAGCAAGCAACAACAACGACAACCTTTATTGTACACACACATACACACATATATCCATTTCCCACCGCACGGACACTTCACAAAGCCATTTGTACGTACCGGGTGTCTGCCTTGGGGGTACATCTTTGGATCTGTCCGTGGTCAAAGTTACGGCTCGTGTCGTGTTTTCTCAGCCTCCTGATGTCCACCTCTTCCACGCGTCCCCCTCGTCTTCCTCTTCTCTGTGTCTCTCTCCGGGTTCGGATGACGAGGCCGAAGAGGCTGCTGCTGCTGTTTCCCACGACAGTCGCTGGTCGTATTCCACTCGGCGTGCGGGTAAAACCCCCGCCGTGTCGTCTCACAAAGGCGAATGGACGGAAGAAGAAAAGCGAAACGGGAGTGGAAGCGGCTCTGCGCTGTCAACGAGAGGCGCTCGCATCAAATCCTGCGGCTCAGTCCGATGTGCTCCAGCCCCGCACCTTCCTTCCCTTCTCCTCCTCCTCGTCGTCGTCGTTGTCTCTCCCTGCGACTTCCTCGCTCGCCGTGGCCTCTTACTTGTTCGTCTGTAGGAGGAAGAGCGATTTTTTTTCGTTTGTGTTCGCACAAGGTCCGTCCGCAAGGCCCGCTCCGCTTGCTCCGCTCTCAGGCCGCCAGCATCGTCCGGGCGGCCGGGCGGCACCGCGGGTTTGCGGCTTCGTCGATGTTGCGCTGGATGATGATGAGGATGATGATGATGAGTGCCCACCGCACTTGCCCCACCTCCTTAGGCTCTTCTCTCTCGTTCTCTCGCCCCCCTCTTCCTCGTCGCTCCACCGCCGTCCGTCGCGTTGGAGCGCAGTGATCCCGGCACGACGGACAACACCAAATGTCTCTTCACCCTCCCCCACCCCAACCCGTCGCTCCCCCCCCACACCCCACACACACTACTGACAGCACGCACTCACATGCGTGTGCTGCCACCGCTACTACTACTGCTGCTACCAAACACTATAGGACGTATCGACTTCCGATTACAGAATTACGCAGAAGAAGAAAAGGGTGGTTAGTGATGGGGTGGTGGGGATGAGTCGAGGTTAGTAAAGAGGGTGATGGGATCGGGGGTGTGGGTTAGGGTGGGGGGGTGGTAGTAAGAGGAATGAAATAATTAAGCTCCGATGTGCTTACAATAAAATAATTAAAATAGAAACACGCGCGTACGCACAACACAGCAGAAAATACGTCGACGACGACGACAAACAATAACGCCCAAATCAGCCGCCGCTCACGACGGCCGAGCTAAAGCAGTCTATATCAGGGCACTAGACAAACGTCAACACTCCTCCTCCTCTCTCTCTTGCGCTCTCTCTCTCTTGCTCTCTCTCTCTCGTCCGGACTCGCTCTGCGGGGAGAGCGCGGCTTTCCAAATTTGGCTTGGGCTTATCGAGCGTCTTTGCGCTCCCTCGGCCAATGGATCGTTCGCGGCCCCCACGTGGGGCCGTGTCGTCCCACGAATGGCGTAGCGAGTGCGGACGCGGCGAGGCGGCGCCTCCAGCCCGCCGAGCCTCTCACGGGTCGGCGAACGCACCGCGCCCGTCAATCAACTCAAGCGCCGTTAAAGCGCCGTGTCGAGCTGTCACTCAAAGTAACGTGGTGGTGGTGGAGGAGGAAGAGGAGCGAGAGGAGGGGGGTGGGAGGGCTCCGCCAATGGACGGACGCGCAGGAGCAGTGCGGGTGTTATGGATGGGATGGATGTATACGGCGAGACACACGCGGACGCACGCACGAACGGACGAATGGAGACCCCCACCCTCTGCTCCTTAGCCTCAGCCAGCCAGAACCCTCCACCATCTCCTCCCCTCCCCCCGACTCGCTACCCCCCCACCACCATCACACTCACCCCCCCCCCATCATAAACCCCCCCACCCAACCCACCACCATCACCCCCCCCCCACCACCACACACACCCCCCCACCACAAACCCACGTTTTTTTTCCTCTCTTGGCAAAAAACCCACCCAACCACCCAACCCTGATTCTCGTAACCCCATCCCCCGCCTTAACCCACCACCCCCCTAACACGTATAGCAGCCGGGCCAGCCAGCCCTACCTCCTTCCACCCTGTCTTCTTATACATGCCCCTACCTTCTCCGTCGGTTTAGAAAGGGAGGGAGGGAGGGGGGAGAAGCAAAAAGGAGCGAGTGTATGGTGGAGGGGGTGAAATTTGTTCCCACGTCGGCGTTGATGCCTCGTTACGTCCCTGCCTTCCTCCGCCTCTGCTTGAGTCAGGTCACCACGCAGACCCAATCAAAATACATCAGCATTCCTGCTCTGTTACATGCACTGCAATAGCACAATAACAGTGGGGGTTTTGCCTTCTTATAATCTTCAGACTCTTGGTTTTTTTTATCCTCCATTAGGGGCAAACACGCACAGAGGGAGATGGGGACGAGTCCCGTAAAATAAATTATCGGGAGAAATTCGTGGTGGGTGGGTGTTTTTTTTCTCTCTTAACACCAGAAAATAAACTCCTCCTTGTTTGAAATCGTATTTATTATATACACACCACGCACGCGTATGACCAACTCACCCGGAATGCCCCCCCAGTATCGTCAAATCTCAGTCATATCTCGGAAATCTAAGAGGACTGGGTAATGCTTGGTTGGAATGGCGACCACTCCGGCATAAGAACGGGTTGTTTTGCGAACTTTCGGGGTCTACGTGATGGGGCGGCGGATGGGCGATGCAGTGAAATGCATTGTTGGCCTGTACGTATAAGCTACCTACGTCTTTGTAGCCCGCCATCACGATAACCAACTCACACTGTCCAGCGTGGTGAAATATGGTCAAATATACCCTCGCTGCTAACACGGCATGGCGAGGCCCTCATCATCCAACAGTGGATTGATACACAGGGCTTCTGCAAATCACACGTCGCAACCCCCACCCCCACAACTACGATTATAAAGGCGAATGAATGCGTCCGTGGCTGTTTATTTAGTAATTCAATATTTATTCCGTATCTATGTACCTCGACACGTTTAAACTCCAGTGGCCTCACAGATGTAATTGCCATGAGTCAGTCTCCCTTAAGCTAACCGGGAGATGAAATGACGACGTCGAGACACGTGCAACATTGCCTCTTCGCAAGGGCGACCTGGGTTACATCACTAAACACGCGAGGGGCTATTACAGCAGTGTGCCGCCAGCGTGACCTGCGCGCCTCCACGCGTGAGCGCAGCGTGCAGGCGGCGTGTGCGCTTGGAGTTACCGACAGAAACGATGCATTATGTAGGACGTACGAGAGGGCAAGCCGTGCCTGTCCTTTTCGGACAGGCTGACGTGACGCTCACATGACACTTGCCTGACCCTCACCACTCACCTGACACTCACCAACGCGCCTAGGCCTCACCACTCACCAGTTTATGGAATATTGGTACTCTAGTTGGGCAGCCCGTCCTTTCGGACAGGCTGACGTAACGCTCACATGACACTTGTTTGACCCTCACCACTCACCTGACACTCACCAACGCGCCTAGCCCTCACCACTCACCAGTTTATGGAATATTGGTACTCTAGTTGGGCAGCCCGTCCTTTCGGACAGGCTGACGTGACGCTCACATGACACTTGCCTGACCCTCACCACTCACCTGACACTCACCAACGCGCCTAGGCCTCACCGCTCACCAGTTTATGGAATATTGGTACTCTAGTTGGGCAGCCCGTCCTTTCGGACAGGCTGACGTGACGCTCACATGGCACTTGCCTGACCCTCACCACTCACCTGACACTCACCAACGCGCCTAGCCCTCACCACTCACCAGTTTATGGAATATTGGTACTCTAGTTGGGCAGCCCGTCCTTTCGGACAGGCTGACGTGACGCTCACATGGCACTTGCCTGACCCTCACCACTCACCTGACACTCACCAACGCGCCTAGCCCTCACCACTCACCAGTTTATGGAATATTGGTACTCTAGTTGGGCAGCCCGTCCTTTCGGACAGGCTGACGTGACGCTCACATGACACTTGCTTGACCCTCGCCAGGCATTCACCACTCACCTGACACTACTCATCAGCTATCATCTCGCATGACCGTGTATTGTTTGTTTATTTATCTGCCACAACCTCGTCGTTCTTAGGGAGTTCTCTCACCAACAAGATCAGGATAAGCCGGCATTATATGTTTTTAGCAAACCCGGCTCCGCTGATGAAACCTAGAAGGTCGAAGCCCTGTTCTTCACCTGAGGACGGCTGCTTGCGTTGTGGCCGAAACGTCGTGAAAATTGTATTTTAGTATGTTTTATTTTCATTATTTTGTTATTTGCCTTCTACGTGACTTTACCGAAAGAACCATGAAGAGAATATGTTGATGCTGTATAAGGCTAGACGGCCAATAGGCCGGTAGACCAACAGTTCTTAAGTTTAAAATCATTACGACTCGGATACCGATTGGATTAAATCACCTATTATTATTGTGTCTCGCGTTTTTTTGTCTCGTTTATATTGTTTCTCGTTTTTAACGATTTCCACTCAGTTCGATTCCCAGGCATGGCTAATAATCATCACTGGCCAGTGGTCATGCGCCATCCTTCATCGACCAGCATTGACCGGTGCGGTGAGGTATGGTCAAATGACCCCCGTGACTCGCAACGTCGTGGGAAGGCTTTCATTCAGCAGCGGACTGAGAAATGTCTGCAGGCTGTTTTGTGACTTTAGTAGTAGTCTTGGTGAGCTGTGCGGTGAGTTTAACAATGGTGTTTGTTAGCTGTGTGATGAGTTTAGTAGAGTTGGGGTTTTGTAATTTTTGTGAATATATATTGAGCTTTGTCGTCAAGAGGACGGGCATCATATCACCTGGGCATTGCCACTAACAGCTTATCAATTGTTCTCACGGATTGTCTGTTCGGATTGAGAAACTGGGCACACACGTGTGTGTGGCTGGTTCACGCACACGGAAATATGCGGCGTGTACTGCTGTATGTGCTCCACGTTTGTGTAAGCGCCGCATGCAGGTGTCCTTTGATATAAAAACAACAAGGCACACAGCGGCTGAGAGCAATCAGGACAAGGGCGGTAGGAAGATATGCACACGTGTGTGTGGGTTTAAGCTATTGAGTCGAACAAAGGCAAGCGATAGCCATATTGATACGAACACGGCAATCCTGAGTTCGATTCTCAGCCGCGGCCAACGTAGGCGCCGAGTGATATCTCAACCGGTGCTGGACAGCGCCTCCCTTCACCAATCGTGGTGAACTATGGTCAAACAACAACTCCATGGATCCACACGTGGTCAGTAACGTTAGTCCAGCGTAGACGTGACATCGACCAGTACATTACTATGACTGTATCATTAAATCATTATACGAACATAGACGTAACGATTATGATAAAAAAAAAATAGCGATAAAGATCTGGGTCTGGTCAAAAAAATTCTCTCACCCCCCCCCTCCTCCCCTATGACGCGCACGGAGTGGGGAGGTGCCCCTACCCCCCTCTGTTCAGCAGCGGATTGACAAAGGCTGCACGTTATTATTATTCGTGTCGCCTTTGAAAGGGAGATCCGGACGTCAAGAACGGAGGGCGGAGGCTTTTGTGCGTGTGAGCCCACGCGCATTCCACACCTGGTGCCTCATAACAACAACGAAAGTGGGTTTCTCTCTCTCTCCTACGTATGCGCTATCATTCTCCAGACGCGATCGTTTTGTCTTAATTATAACGATTTCCCTCCCAACTGGATGAATAATGATTTGCCAGCGTGCTTAAATAACGCAAAAAAACGCAACACGCTCGTCAATAAACACCGTGGCATAAAATGGGACAAAATAAATAGAAGGCGACGTTTTGGGCAAGAGCCCTTCTTCATGGCAGATGAAATGATATTTTACGAACCCGACAACTTGAGTTCGTTTCCCAGTCAAGGTTAACATCAGCGGCAAGAGGTACTAGAACTAGTGCTGTGCCTCCTTTGGTTCCACTCAGCCTTTAATGCATACCTCGCATACGAAGTGTGTCAAGCATGTACAAAATTCACCGCTGGAGATACGACAGCGGCCAGGATTGTTGATGGCCACACCAACTCCCTCGTACGCCGTGGCGACCCTTAATTTGGTGCTCGCAAACAGCATTTATCCCAACAGCCTAAAGTGACTATACACCGGGCTCTTCTTTGTCTTTGTTAATAGAAACTGAGTGAAGTAGGGCTCCCGGGTCGCTAAAAATGGGAATTGGCGATGGCATAATCATGCATTCGCGTGGTTTCGCCAACGCTTTCCAAAACATGCCTTTGTCCTCGGAAGTATTTAATCTTCCGGAGAACTTACGCAGGATAATGACATCATTCAAACTGTTAAGAAAAGTAAGTGGGTTTGGACAGGGCACGTCGCCAGGAGGGAACGACGGCTGATGGCGAAGATCA